AACAGAAATCATCAAGTTTGTATGCCAAATATTATATACAAGGATACAACATTTTAAAAAATAATTTTTAAAAATTGAAAATAACCTAAATGTACCAATAGCCCAGTTGATTATTAGTCATGGTATGTCTAGGCAGTGAATGAACTGGTTTGTAGCCATGAAAAATCATATGGTAGAAGAATATTGATATGTCAAAGTAAACATTCATAATGTGCAACATAGATCACAAAAACAGTGATTCCAAATTTTAATAGCAGTTATTGCTGTATGATTGGATTGTGCTTTTTATTTGCCTTGTTGAAGCTGTTATATTTCTTAAATTTCCGTGACTGAACATGTATTTCTTTTGTAATCAGAAAAATTAAGACTTTTTTTTTTTAAAGATTTAAAAAGGCTTTACTCTGTTGCCTAGGCTGGAGTACAGTGGTGTGATCATAGTTCACTACATCCTGGACCTCCTGGGCTCAAGCAGTCCTCCTACCTCACCCTCCCAAGTAACTGAGGCCTCAGGTGCACACCACCACTCCAGGCTAATTTTTAAATGTTTTGTGGAGATGGCGTTTTGCCATGTTACCCAGGCTGGTCTCAAATTCCTGGGCTCAAGCCAACCTCCTTTTGGCCTCCCAAATTGCTGGGATTACAGGTATAAGCTACCATTCCTAGCCCTATTTTAACAACAACAATAAAAGGCCTGGTGTGGTGACTCATGCCTGTAATCCCAACATTTTGGGAGGCCAAGGTAGATGGATTACCTGAGGTCAGGAGTTCGAGACCAGCTGACCAACATGGTGAAACCCCGTCTCTACTAAAAATACAAAAATTAGGCATAGTGGGGTGCACCTGTGATCCCAGCTACTCGGGAGGCTGAAGCAGGAGAATTGCTTGAAGCCAGGAGGTGGAGGTTGCAGTGAGCTGAGATTGTGCCATTATACTCCAGCCGGGGCAACCAGAGCAAGACTTCATCTCAAAAAAAAACAAAAAACAAAAAACAAGATGATGAAGAATTCATATTGCTCATATTGCTTTTAAACTTCAGCTCAGATTGTTTCATTAAGTCAGGAATCATTTTATTAACAAAGATCACAAAAAGTTCAGCATTATTAAGGCCCTAGCCTAGTATATCATCCATATCCCCAGATCTAGTGTCTGCACACCTGGATTTAAAGTGTCTCTTTTAAGCTTCATTGCCTGAGGCATTTCCAGAAGGAATCCTGTTAAGTGAAAAAATAAGGCCTTTCATGAGGGATGCTGGACCACTTCTGTTGCCACTTCAAACATGTTCTGACTTAATCTCTAGAGAACAGCCTTCTCCAATAAATTGTCCACCAGCACATCTAATTCTTGGCTTGTTTCTAAAAGTCTGCAGGTTCTTTCATGAAGTCACTTTTTTAAGCTTAAATATCTACTTTGCTTTGAAAATCTGTTTTCTCCCTTTTCAAAAAGAGCATACCAGAAGTTAAAATTGGATCATTTTTAGCAAGCTGCATCGGACATCTGGAGTGAATTGAAGAGTATGAATGTCATAGTAAACAGCAAAGACTGTCAAGTCTAATTTTTGCAGATCTACTAAATCTGAAAGGACAGTCTGGACAGCTAGCAGTTTTGATTGTTGAGCTGAGGTGTGTTTCCTAAAGTTATTCTTAAAATCAGAGAGGTTAAACAAAACCTGCAGCGTGGTCCTACTTGAATAGCGATGCAACGGTGATAGGAAATATCTTTATCATCTATATTATAGTCTCTTATAATTAGAGTTGAAAGAGGCTTGAGATCTTGTGACTGTTTACCAGTACCTCATTCTAGTCAGATAGTATCTAGTATCCATTGAGCTACTTATAGTAATAATTATATTTTGCCCTTGATATGGTTTGGCCATGTCCCCACACAAATCTCGTCTTGAATTGTAGTTCCCGTAATCTCCATGTGTTGGGAAAGGGACCTGGTGGGAGGTAATTGAGTCATGGGGCCGGTTACCCTCATGCTGTTCTTGTGATAGTGGGTGAGTTCTCATGAGATCTGATGGTTTTATAAGGGGCTTTTCCCCTTTTGCTTGGCACTTCTGTCTCCTACTGCCTTGTAAAGAAGGATGTATTTGCTTCCCCTTCACCATGATTGTAAGTTTCCTGAAGCCTTCCCAGCCATGTGGAACTGAGTCAATCAAACCTCTTTCCTTTATAAATTACCCAGTCACAGGAATTTTTTAATAGCACCATGAGAATGGACTAACCCCTGTAAATTAATAAGTAGATATTCTGGTCTCTGTATATTTAATATTTTTGCTAGAATTCACTGCTGAAACCCTGTGGGCTAGGAATTTTCATTGCAAAAGGATGTTTGATAACAAATTGAATTTATTTAATAGATATAAGGCTATTCATATTTTCTGTTTTGGGTCCATTTGTGTAAGTTCTGTTTTTAAGGAATGTATCCTTTTCATTTAATTTGTCAAGCTTATTGGCATAAAATTATTCACAAAAGAGCTCTTACCATCTTTTAAATACCTGTAAATGATGTTGCATGTTGTAGTATATCCTCTTTCATTGCTGATACTGGTAATTTATAGTCTCCTTTTCTTGATCAAGCTCCATAGCAGATTATCAATTTTATTTATCTTTTCAAAGAACCAATTTTGACTCTGATAATTTTCTTGGTTGTTTATTTTTATTTTTATTTCACTGATTTTTGCTGCTTATTATTTACTTCTTCCCTACTTAGTTTGGTTTTACTTTGATCTCTTTCTAGTTCCCTAAATTGGAAATTTGGATCCTTTATTTTAAACCTTTCTTGTTTTCCAAAATAACATATGGGCTGTAAATACTTCTAACCACTGTTTTAGTTATACACTTCAAATTTCTTTAAATGCTTTATTGTGGTGTAATAACTGATATAAACTGGACATATGTAAAGTGTATAAATTTGACATATGTATACATTGATGAATCTGTCACCACAGTCAAGATAATGACTCTACCCATCACCACCAAAAATTTGCTTAATCCCTCCCTTCTGTTCCCTGGCAACCACTGATTATCTTTACAAACTAATTAAACAGTAGATTACTTTGCATTTTCTTGAATTTTAGATTAATGAAACTATAAAATAGATATACTTCTTTATCTGACTTCTTTCACTCAGCATAGTTCTTTGCATGATTGCATCATGTTTTTTTTTTTTTTTTTTTTTTTGGAGACGGAGTCTCGCTCTGTCACCCAGGCTGGAGTGCAGTGGCCAGATCTCAGCTCACTGCAAGCTCCGCCTCCCGGGTTCATGCCATTCTCCTGCCTCAGCCTCCTGAGTAGCTGGGACTATAGGCGCCTGCCACCTCGTCCGGCTAGTTTTTTGTATTTTTTAGTAGAGACGGGGTTTCACCGTGTTAGCCAGGATGGTCTTGATCTCCTGACCTCGTGATCCGCCCGTCTCGGCCTCCCAAAGTGCCGGGATTACAGGCTTGAGCCACCGCGCCCGGCCTGCATCATGTATTTTTAAGCTATTAGGTGCACAGATGGTTAGCATTGTTGTATCTTCCTGATGAATTGACCCCTTTATTATTATGGGATGACCCTTTTTGTACCAGATAGTAGTCTTTGCTCTAAAATCTAGTGCTATCGGCCAGGCGTGGTGGCTTATGCCTGTAATCGCAGCACTCTAGGAGGCCAAGATGGGCAGATCACCTGAGGTCAGGTGATATCTACTAAATACAAAATATTAGCCAGGCGTGGTGGTGCATGCCTGTAATCCCAGCTACTTGGGAGGCTGAGGCAGGAGAATCACTTGAACCTGGGAGGCAGAGGTTGCAGTGAGCCAAGATCATGCCATTGCACTCCAGCCTGGGCGACAGAAGTGAAACTCTGTCTCAAAAAAAATAAATAAATCACATGCACACGTATGTTTATTGTGGCACAATTCACAATAGCAAAGACTTGGAATCAACCCAAATGTCCATCAGTGACAGACTGGATTAAGAAAATGTGGCACATATACACCATGGAATACTATGCAGCCGTAAAAAAGGATGAGTTTGTGTCCTTTGTAGGGACATGGATGCAGCTGGAAACCATCATTCTCAGCAAACTATCGCAAGAACAGAAAACCAAACACCGCATGTTCTCACTCATAGGTGGGAACTGAACAATGAGATCACTTGGACTCGGGAAGGGGAACATCATACACCGGGGCCTATCATGGGGAGGGGGGAGGGGGGAGGGATTGCATTGGGAGTTATACCTGATGTAAATGACGAGTTGATGGGTGCAGCACGCCAACATGGCACAAGTATACATATGTAACAAACCTACACGTTATCCACATGTACCCTAGAACTTAAAGTATAATATAAATAAATAAATAATAATTTTTAAAAATCTAATGCTATCATGGTATATTGTCCTCATCCTTTTCCTTTTAACCTATTTGAGCCTTCATATTTAAGTGGTGTTTCTTGTAGGCAGCATGTAATTGGCTCTTTTTCATTTATCTAATCTGAAATCCCTATATTTCAGCTTTTCAAATATTTAAAGATATTTCTGTACCATTATCTTTTCTTCCTTGGACTAAACATCGTCTTATTATGGTTTGGCTGATACTTTTCCTAAATCCTTCACTATTATCAAACTCTTCTGTCCATGCTTTGCTTCAAAGGGATATTACATCACAATAGAGATTTTGAGTCACCTTCTGCAAGAAATGCTGATCATTTATTACTTCATTTGCTTAACATGATCACCAAAGATCTATCTAGTCCCTCACCATTTGGTTAAAACCCATCTAGACCATCTGTCCCACTTTTCTTACCCAAATCATATTTTTTTCTTGGGTCACTACTGATTTTTTGATCTCCAGAAAAATTTCAAGGGGGCGTAAGAAAAAATCTATTAATTAATTTCCTCTGGAAATAGCTGTTTTATCTTAGTTATACCAATTCTAGTTGAATTATTTTGAATGTGGGTCAAACAAAACTAGACTATAACTGAAAGGGTATTAAAATGTTTGCCTTTTTCTTCCAGGTAAAAATGTCTCCATCATATCATCAGTCCAAAGGGGATCCCACTGCTAAGAAGGTGAGTTTGTTTTAATAAAGGCAAAAAACCAGTTCCTCTTCTGCATGTTTATTCTGCTATGTGGAACAATATTCTCAACATGGCAATGATTTTTAATCATCTTAATGCTCTCCAGGGTTATTTCTGATTAGATGCTTTAATGACATGTCTCCAGGCCTTCTTGGCTCCTCCAGAGAAGCCAAGTTGGGTTTTGACATCAGTCTCCTAGCAACTATCCGTTTCTAGAATTTCCATCTTCTATACCAGGCATGGTATCATGGTAGCAGGTGAAAGATATTCAGAGGAAAGCTATATAGTTTGTCTTAATAATGTGCTTTACTTTGGCCGGGTGCAGTGGCTCACACCTGTAATCCCAGCCCTTTGGGAGGCTGAGGTGGACGAATCATCTGAGGTCAGGAGTTCAAGACCAGCCTGGCCAACATGATGAAACCCCATCTCTACTAAAAATAGAAAATTAGCTAGGCGTGGTGGTGCATGCCTGTAATCCCAGCTACTCCAGAGGCTGAGGCAGGAGAATCACTTGAACCCAGGAGGCAGAGGTTGCAGTGAGTCGAGATTAAACCACTGCACTCCAGCCTGGGCAACAAGAGTGAAACTCTGTCTCAAAAAGAAAAACAAATGTGCTTTACTTCTACAGAGCTGTGCCTAAAAAAACTGGCCTGAGATATTAACAGCACATGAGAAGGTCTTCAATAAATACTGGCAGAAGAGAGCTCTCATGTGTGCCACTTCAGTTCCTGACTGTAAGCTTTGTGACCACAAATAGGGTCTGACTGTTTTACACCCTATCTGAGCAATGCATAGATGATGTCAAGAGAACCACTAAAATCTTTTCCTTTATCCGGCTGCAAAAGTGCGGTTGAAACATGGTAAACAAATTGACATTTCTGCTCGTTTCTTTCATCATTTTTCTTTCTCTAATAGTCAAAGTGTTTTTTTTCCTTGCCCTTTTTTACCATTTCAGCCAGCATCTGTATCAGTGAAGGACTATAGAACAAAAATAACCACCTGCTGGCTCTGTTGACTAACAGCAGGTTTTAGCTTCAAAGCAATGTTCCAAAAATGGGTCCCCCTCCTCTGACTTCAGAATCCCCTGAGACTTTTTCAGAAGAGAAGAGTCTAAAAACAAAATATGTTGTCTGAAAAGGCCTATAACACACTGCACATAAAAATCCTCTTTCACGCTTGTCAAGGCAGTAGGGGCAGGCGAGACTGAGGCAGTGACTGTTGATACTTAGAACCATCACACTGTAACGCGAAGAGTGGGGGGAGCCTGTCATTTTAGTCTCGCTCAGTAAATAGATGAGGAAATGGGAATCCAGAGGGATTCCAATTTTTTGTCTTGGCTCTCCAATGTTAGCTATGGAATACACTTCTAACATAGTGATGTCAAGCATGTGCTTTGGATACCACCAGACTTGGGTTCAAAGATTTACTCTTCTGCTTATTTATCTGAATGACCTTGTGTAAATTGGCCCCTCTGTTTCATCTTATGTAAAATGGTGATGCTACTCTCAGAATTGTCCTGAAGATTAAATGAAATACTCTACTGTTTAAGAGTCTAACATTGTGTTTGACATATAGTAAGTACTCAAGCTGTTGTTGACACTAGTATTAAAATGCAGGTCTCCCGGCTCCTAATCAGATGTCCTCTTACTTTATCATGCTGCTTGTATAATATTGTTCATTCAGCAAGTATAGTCTACCCTTCACATTTGTGGGTTCTGCATCTGTGGGTTCAACCAACCACAGATTGAAGATATATGGGGGGGGAATGATAAAAAATAATGATACAACAATAAAAAACAGTACAACTATTTACATTGTATTAGGTATTATAAGTAATCTAAAGATGATTTAAAGTATATGGGAGGATTTACACTGGTTATATGCAAATACCATGCCATTTTAAAGGGCTTGAGCATCCATGGATTTTGGCATCCACAGGAGGTCCTGGAGTAAATTCCCCACAGATACCAAGGGATGACTGTATTTCTTTTTTTTTTTTTTTTTTTTTTTGAGATGGAGTTTCCCTCTGTCGCCTAGGCTGGAGTACAGTCGCACGATCTCAGGTCACTGCAACCTCCGCCTCCTGGGTTCAAGCGATTCTGCTATCTCAGCCTCCTGAGTAGCTGGGACTACAGGGATGCACCACCACACGCAGCCAGTTTTTGTATTTTTAGTAGAGATGGGGTTTCACCATGTTGGTCTCGAACTCCTGACCTCATGATCCGTCTGCCTTGGCTTCCCAAAGTGCTGGGATTACAGGTGTGAGCGACTTTTTTTTTTTTTTGAGACAGAGTCTCACTCTGTTGCCCAGGCTAGAGTGGAGTGGCACAATCTCAGTTCACTGCAACCTCCGCTTCCTGGGTTCAAGGATTCTCTTGCCTCAGTCTCCTGGGTACCTGAGACTGCAGGCACCCACCACCACACCCAGCTAATTTTTTTGTATTTTCAGTAGAGACAGGATTTCACCATGCTGGCCATGATAGTCTCAATCTACTGACTTCATGAGCCACCCACTTTGGCCTCCCAAAGTGGTGGGATTACAGGTGTGAGCCACCACGCCCAGCCAGCTGTATTTTGTTACACTGGTTACTGAGATAAACAGTGGACTAGAGATGAGGTCCTGTTCTCAAAGGTCTCAGCATTTATTGAGAAAAGTAGACGGGTAAACTGACAGTTACCATACACCTTGACACATACCATGGAAGGTGCACAGGGTTCTGTGAAGGCGCCAAGGAAAGGCCCTATTCTGAGATGACTAGGCTAACTTAGTGCAGTTCTTACGTTCTTTATGGCAGAAACCTCCATGAAGAACTTTGAGGAATGGTTAGCAGCTCCCCTACAACACTGTTACCACATTAGAGTGACAGCAAATTCTGCCGTGTATATAGGCATTTATTAAATAAATACTCATTTAGAAATAGGTTCTGCAACCTATTTTTCAAACTGAGTAACGTCCCAGCTCTTTGTCATTTTAGGTGTCTGACCTCTTGTAAGGGATGTGACATTACAGAAGCAGGATTCTGTTACTCAGAATCAGCATCAGGCAAACAGACGCTTCCTAAGCCGATGACTGCACACAAGTGGCCCGGGCAGCATTCCTTTGTGATCAGATGCAGACTTATTCCTGGTTTATGCAAAAGTTGGGACTATCTCTAAAATATTTTATTCAATATACATATCTCAGATACCTTTTACTTTATCAATGAGAGTCCATTTCCAATATTCACCATGGTGGTTAACAGGTCATTACTTTCACCAATAAAAATATTTCCATTTTCAAGCTAATGAGCCAAGTCTTAGTGTTGGTGAACATAGAATAGCTGAAGAGCTTTTTTTAGTGGCTGCCTTGTGGAGTTCATGTTAGCTGGCCTCTTCTGAAATACAGATTCTTAATTTGGGCCATGACCGTTCCTGAGTTGAAGCCCAAAAGTAAATAGCACATACTTACTATCACGCTGTTTATGCCGTCTATCCTTACTTGAAAATATATATCATAGTGGGTGGCCATTCCAGATTGGGGGTCAGGAAAGGCCTCCCCGCAAAGGTAAAGTTTGACCTAGTCTTAAGAAACAAGGGAAATGATAACCTAGGCAGATGGAGGTGAATATAACACATTGTAGGAAATGGGAATGGTTCTGCATGTCTTCAATATAATATGAAAGCATGGAGAAGTCTGGTAAAAGATAAATAGGGATTCAGACCACAAAGAACCCAAGTCTGTGAAGTTTGCTTTCTATCTTGACGATAAGGTTTCCAGCAAAGGTAAGATTAAAAGCAGAAAGACCAATTAGAAGAGTAAGATATTTGTCCAGGCAAGAAAAAAGGTCCTAACCCTAGGCTATCTTAATGGAGTAAAGAGATTAGATGGATTCAAATATTAGCTATTTTTTTCTCTCAGAAAACCCTGACACTCCCCTTAAATCTGAGTAAGTGTCCTTCCTTCCCTGAGCTCATAGCACCCTGAATTAGTCCCTACCAATACCTGGATGGGTTGAGGTTGCCTGTCTACTTAATGCCCATCTCCCATTAGGCCATATGCCTCGTGAGGGCAGAGCGGTAACCATGTCAGTCTTGTTTACAGGTTGTATCCTTAAGTGTAGAACAAAGTAGTCACTCGTTCATTGTTGAATAAATGAGAGATATATGAAAGAGATTTCATAGGACTCCGTGGTGGTTTATGAGAAGTGAAGGGGAAAAGAAATTTCTGGCTCTGATGACTAGAGGAAAAATAAATGAAACATCATTATTGTTTCAGGCTTGTCTCCCAGGCATGGCCAGTTCCTTATTGAATCAGCAGTACTCGAAGAGAGATTTACCTGAAGATCAGTGTGAAACTCAACACCTAATTATTACTTCCTTAGTTGGGTATATATTTTTGTGTTGATATGCTTGTATGCTCATGTACATCTATGTATATATTCTGGTTCTTATCCTTGAGCTACAGTCTCTCTTCCCAAAGTTGCATTGACAGATGGAAGCAGCAGTAGTGTCTGTTGAACAGAGTGACTGCCAATGTGACATGTGTAGGAAACACAAAGGAAGCAGTAATGTTCTTGATTTAGCTAAAAAGTCTCTGTTGACCGATAACTGAAGGAAGTGTTTGGTGACTCTGCTGTCAATATTGGCCCTGCCAAGAGCTGGATTCAAGTGCTAAGGAAACCAGAGTCATGTTCTGTAGGACTCTGCTCACTTCCTGGGGCTTCTTTTTAGGTATTTCATGTAGGAGTCACTCTGTAGAATGTCACTGTTCCACTCTGCCGCTGCATGTCAGAGTGTGCATCACATTCCACAACATGGATCTTTTTTTCTTTTTTTTTTTTTTTTTTGAGATGGAGTCTCACTCTATCACCCAGCCTGGAGTGCAGTGGTGTGATCTTGACTCACTGCAACCTCTGCCTCCCAGGTTCGAGCAGTTCTCCTGCCGCAGCCTCCCGAGTAGCTGGGACAAGCACACGCCACCACACCCAGCTAATTTTTTTGTATTTTTAGGA